CGAACGGCGCTGAAACACACACAGCGGGCGGCGGCGACGGCGACGGCGACGGCTTAGCAACCAGAGAATCCCTTGGCGAAAGCTTTTTTCGTTCGTGACGTACCGAAGGGTAGGCAGTGTTTAATGGAGTGAAAGGGCGGAGGAGAGTGGAATGAATGGAAGGAGCCGTGGTTTGGTGGACGGGGCACGGGGGGAGGGGAAGAGAGCCGCTCACAGAGCGACTAAGTACGCGCGCCCCGGGCGCCAGCCTTCCCAGGTTAGCCACGGTCTGGGTTCCAGGCGAAGAAGAGCGAGGTTTCCGCGTAGTCGCTATAACACGCATGCGTGGGAGCAAGCCGCATTCCTGTGAAGAGGGAGCGGTTGCTGTCTCCTGAGAGGCAGGCCGTGTGACCCAATGGCAAAGGCACGACAGGTGCTTCCCGATCGGGAATTGAAGGCGCTAAAGAATGGGGATACACGGAAGGAACCTGGAAGCACGGAACAGTTGGAAAGACCCCTGGACTGAGAGTCAGGTTTTCCTGGCTCTGCTGTTAAGCGATTCTACAGTCTTGTGAGAATTAAATTAAGACGAAGTCATTGAAGACTGTAGTAAGTTTTACCAGTTTTATTGGTTCGTCCATGACCTTACTGCTGTATTTGAAAAGTTGTTTGCTAAATTGGGTATAACATAATAGGAAAACAAATTATACTCAATCGGAAGACAGCTCAGTCACAACCTCGGTTTAATGTGGAATTGATACAGTTCTGTCACAAAACAAGGACACATGACATTCGATACCACCAGAAAATATGCAGTTTCTGTTAGGCTTTTTGGAGTATTGAAAATTGCCTACAGAGTTTCGTTTTCCACTCTGAGAATTCCTAAGATTCTGGGGGATATAAGTTAGAAACAACTGACCTGGGTAGTCTTCAGTATCTTTTCCGACTCCATCATTATGTGATTCTTAGAGGAAAGGATCCCAGATTTAATTTTGTCCTGAGTGTTGAAGAAGCCTGTAGGGAAAGCAAGGAACTTTTCCTGAAGAACATCAAGGCCGGGAAGGGCCTGAATGAAGGCCAAAACTCAGATCTGACCACCCAGCTGGACAATGAACTGTCTTAAGGCTGCCACCCTCTTCACTTCTGCTTTAGCTGTTCACCCTAGTATTCCCAAACTGGGTTTACCTCAAGTTTCTGCTCAGAATGATGGTATAGGAGTGGGTTTATCAGATTTCCAAAAACCTTGCAAGAACATTGCATCGTCCAACCCTTGTTTCAAACTATTTTGTAGACCCAACTGAAATGTGAAGCCTTTCCTGACTCTGCTTAGGAGAGATAGTTGAGTCATACTTTGTGCTCCCATGATTGTTTGTATTTATAGTATTTTAATTGTTCATATGTCATTCTCATCCGTTAGCCTGTCAACCACAACTTACTTTATATTCCCAACATGTAGCACCATGCCTGTTGCCTATTGTTTGTTGACTAATAAATGAATAAAGCCAATGATCTCATTTTTGTTTTAGTTACTTGTTTAATGTCTGTCTTTCTAACCAAACTGTAAGTTTCATGAAAACAAGAGCCATATTGGTTCGCATTAGGCATTCAGTGTTTGGTGAAGGAAAGCATAAATAGATGAACATAATTGGATTAATTTGATGAAAATTCATTGACTGCTCATTACAGGAAGGCATGGGGTAGGCAAGGAAGAGACAAAAACCAAACCTGTTGCCATTGGGTAGATTCTGACTCATAGCAACCCTATAGGACAGAGCAGAACTGGCCCATATGGTTTCTGTAAATCTTTACGGAAGCAGACTGCCACATCTTTCTCCCACAGAACAGCTGACAGGTTCAACCCCTTACCTTTCAGTTAGCAGCCAAGCACTTAACCACAACACTACCAGAGCTCCTTAGGAAGAGACAAAGAAGTATATAAAACAAGCTTATGGAATAATTGAGGATATACAGAAATAAAAAGATAATAAAGCTAAATGCGTAATGAGTGAAAATCCAATGGTTAGGAGCTGAAGCAAGATCACGTACTGAGGACCAGCCATACTGGTGAGGGAAGGAGTTAGGCGTTGAAAGAAAAGTATAGTTTGATCAAGTAGGAAGTATAATTAAAGTTATGAACACAAAATAGATCAGTAAAAATGCTTACATCAAGTTCAGATATCTATCTCATAGGAGTAGAAGAGTTTCTTTGGGAGAAATTCATTTGGGAGCAAGATTGTAAAAAACTTGGAATCCAGTTTTGGAAATACCCTATAGGCAGTTGGAAACAATGAAGGTTATTCAGTGGGGGTAAGGGTAGGGAATATATTCAAGGTGTTAAAGAATAAGCTTTCAGAAGAGGTGAAAGATTTAGGAGCAAACAGACTACTAAAACACATCAGTCCAAGCCTAAGTAATGAGATTCTAGATTAGGGTGGTGGCAAGGAAAGCAAGGGAGTATCTGAGAAAAACACTGAAGAATCAGTAGGAATAAGGTACTCTGCAAAAGAATCTTTAAGCTCCTTGAGGGCATGACCTATGTCTGTTGTGTTCCTCACTGTCTTTTCCAGGACTTGGCACAGTGCACAGTATGTTGATTAAATAAAAATGATGGCACACAAAGAGTAAGAATGACTCCAGAGATGACTCTCGGGATAACAATAGCATGATGGCAGAATTGGAGACGTCTAGCAGATAGCTTAGTTTTGGATATGTCGAGTAGGGGTGAAAAAACATTCAATAAGCATATCCACGTAGTGATTAAAAATTCAGGGCTAGGAAGAGAAAGCTCAGTGCATGAGAAAAATACTTGGAAATTAGGGGGTAATATATCATCAAAGAGTTATTAAGGGCTCGGTAACTTGCTGCACGTTACTATACCCATAATTCTTAAATTTTGCTGCAACAAAGACTCATGTAGAGTTTGTTAAGAACTGTGGATTCCTAAGCTCCACCCCCAAGAGATTCTGATTCTATAGGCCTGGAATAGGGCCTGTGAATATGCATTTTTACCAGCACTCAGGTAAATCTGATGCGGGTGACCAACTCTGAGAAGCACTGTGCTTCCTTATGTGGGACATATAAGAGAAATATGTGGAATAGTCTTCCATCCAGGTAGCTTAGGTGACTAACAGTGATATGGCCCCAACTGAGAGGTCTCCTAGGAAAAAAATCATCAGTGTTTGGAATCTATTTAAATTCACAAAAGCAAGTGGGATGTGATGCAATGGAATTTCCCTTTTTATACCAGATAAATGTATAAATACTGTATTCTGAAAATAGGCAGTCCTTCCTAGTTTCTACTGGCAAGATCTTCTGAGAAAACAGAAGAGAAGAGGAAGCATGACAAAATACATACAGAAGGAAGTCAGGCAACTCAAAATATGAGAGGAAAAATAGAGAATTGTTGTTAGGTGCCGTTGAGTCAGTTCCAACTCATAGTGACCCATGTATAACAGAGCAAAACACTGCCCAGTCCTGCACCATCTTCACAATCATTGCTATGAAATAGAGAACAAGAGAAGACAAAAAAAATTAAAAATGAAAGTAAGTATGATAAAAGCTAAGCCTGAACAGATAAATGAATTTTATCCCCTGGACCACAAAAATAACAATGAAAACAAAATCCAAAGTCTAGCAAAAACACTCACACTGAAGTAAAGTCTAACGGAGATAAAACAATGTAATTACCAAGAGGATTGAGCTTTCCAGACTTATTTCCAAGGTATCTTATGCAAATATTCTAGGGAGATAAGGTCACTGGTTTCCATCTCCATCTAGCCCTGCACTTTGGCTATCAGTCCACCCAAACAATCCCCCCCAATAAACTTTATCTGCCTGACTCATCTGTAGGGTTTGCTGTCTAACCAAGTCTTTGAGTGAATAATAGCTTCTTGTTAAAAAAATAATAATGTGCTTGATCCTTTAAAGAAAATTAGTGATGTGAAAATAAACTAAACATGACATAGAAAAACCGATGAGAAAGAAACTGAAAACATTTTCTGTGAGTGTGAATGGACAAGAAAGGAGAAGAAAAGTTTCCGTGAACCCAATAGTATAATAATGCATCTGGAAGAAAATAATACACAGTCTACTGGTAAAATGAAAAGCTCCAACTTACGCATTAAAACCAGAGGTAGACAGACATGTATGGAAAACTATAATTTCTTAGAGTTACTGTTTAAAGACAATCCCTTTTCCAAAAATATACCACTGTTTCCAGTTGCATGAAGTTTTGCCGTTAGCTTTCATTCCTTTCCCAGTCTTCCTTTATAAAATCACAGGCATTCTTTAGAAAACGTAAGCTAATAGCACTAATACCGTGGTAAGTCAGTCATCATAATAAAGGAAGTCAATTTCCTTTATTAAAATGCTTGCAGTCCTAGTGGCACAGTGGGTAAGCACTCAGCTGCTAACTGAAAGGTCAGCAGTTCAAACCACAAGCAGCTCCACAGAAGAAAGATGTGGCAGTCTGCTTCCGTAAAAATTACAGCCTTGGAAACCCTAAGGGGCAGTTCTACTCTGTCCTATAGGGTCGCTATGAGTTGGAACTGACTCAATGGCAATGGGTATTAAAGTGCTTATTTTGCAGGCTACTGGTAGCAATTTTAGTCAGCCAAAACCCAAAACCAAACCCATTGCCATCGAGTTAATTCCGACTCATAGCGACCCTATAGGACAGAGTAGAACTGCCCCATAGAGTTTCCAAGGAGCAGCTGGTGGATACAAACTGCCTACCTTTTGGTAGCAACCGAGCTCCTAACTGCTGCGCCACCAGGGCTCCAATTTTAGCCAAAGTGATTGTAAAATATGGCCTAGGCCAATCAAAAGTATTGTAGCA